AATTTCCCTATTAGAAACTCCTTCTGTATACAGTGCTTCAATGTTCCCTTTAGTAAATTCTGACAATTCCCTAACTTTCGGCATGGCTCAATGTTTGTAAATAAAAATTACGTATCTGACACTATGACCTCGATAGGAATATTCATGAACTACAACTGACAGGTATTCCCGCCCAGAAGCGCGTGTTGAAAAAATTTCAGGTTCAATTTTGCATGAGAAAGGACACGACTATCGCACGTTTTATGGCGCGAAGTTTTAATAAGATGCAAATGATATGCAAATGAGCGCGCTCCCATAGAGTTAACCATGGCGATTTTCGCTCACTGAAAAAACGTGTACATACAAAAAAACTAAACACAAATCAAACATTTTATTTTGACTAAAATGCACTAGTTCTTCTTAAATTTAGTATATTTTAAAGTCAACACATCATGTTACCCGGAATTGTTATTTTTAGTCACGAAAACGATCAAATGACAGGTGCGTAAATACTTTCTGGCGGGTCTGTATATTATCATTCAATTTACACTTACATTACGTCCATATCCTTGCAATCAAGTACCAAATGCAGCAAAATCACTTAACTGAATTCGTTTGAGTGATTTCATTTCATTTCTTTTTTTGCCAGGCGATAGTGATCTGTTTTCGACTTCATTTCTTCAAAGACAGCACTACAAGTAACACTGCGTCTGCAACTGTCAGACAAGTCGTGTCCATTGTGTTTGAAAGAGTTGTAGCTGGAGATGAAAGCAACACAGGTTTGTACTTTGTGATGCTGGGTTGATGATAACCTTGAATAATGTTTGACTGGATAAGGTTGAAATAAACTATATTTTAATTATCCTGTATCAAATACAATTTTCACTTTGTGTACACTTGTATTAGAGACATGCTTCAAATAGATAAGTGTTTTTTCTCAAACATTCTCTACAGATGTTGAGAGAGTTGAGGCTGATATGGAAAGTCAGAAAAGTGGTTCTAAAGATGCACCAGTGTCCTTGTATCCATGTGCAAGGGATGCCTACCTTCTGTTCCAGGTATGACTGGCTTTTTGCATGTTAAATTATTCACTTGTAGATGCAGTTTCTTTGACTGGGCCTGGTTGTCATAGGAATAGTGCATTAAATTGATGACCTCACAGCCCTGTCATGTACTGCCAAATCATGGATATGGTTTCTGTACAAAACACACTGTACACTAGGATATTGAGCATCTGGAACTGTAACCTTGTTTATTTCAGGATTTGTGTTACCTTGTGAATGCTGACCAACCATACTGGTTGGTTGGAATGACGGAGATGACGCGAACATTTGGCCTTGAATTACTGGAGTCTATATTGAACAGGTTTCCCCCAGTCTTCTTGAATGTGAGTATCATGCAGTGTCCTCATAATTTGGGTTAACATTGACAACATATTCTGTTCACTTGATTTTCATATCTGTATATCATTGCTGTTTTCCAAAGTGCATAACCTACACACTCATACATGTACCTAGCTGGTTACCACTAGTGCACGGTAGTGCATGGCACACATCTTCAATCGCAAATTACTTTTAGATTGTGACAAATTGAAAACCATAACATGTCACCACCCAAATTAAATTAAACTTTAAAAAAACATTATTGTTGCTTTTTTACCCAGTTCGATATATTTGTTGTGAAGCAAAATGTCTAAAAATTGGGAAAACAGGCCGTTTTCAAACTAAATAAATCATGTATTCTCATAAGAATCCATTATTTTATAAAACATTAAATAACATTTATATATAACTGAAAATGCATTTTGAGATGTGATTAAAATTTCGTCTGAGAAATCTCTATTTTCATGGATGTTTGACAAATTTTTGAATGAAAAGTAGTTGGCTAAGCAACAGTATAAAATGAAGCCATAATGTAAAAGTAAAAGAAAACTGGCGATATGTTTTAATGGAAGCCAAGTACC